GCCAAGAGGTAGGAACAACCTGACTGTGCATAAAGAAAGTGTGACACATACATACAGTGATGTAAAAAGGAGGAAATCCTTTCCTTCTCTACAACATGGATGAATTTTGAGAGGATTATGCAAAGTAAAATAAGTCAGTCACAGAAGGACAAAAGCTGTGTGAATCCACCAACATGAGGTGTTTGAAATAGTCAAACTGATAGAAGTAAAAAGTAGAATGGTGGTCAGCAGGGCTGGGGATGGAAATTGGGTGGTTGTGTTTCAATGGGTGTAGAGTTACAGTCATGAAAGATAAAAATGTTCTAGAGACTTGCTGTACCACAATATGCAAATAACTAATGACACTGTACTGTACACTTGAAAATTTAGTAAGAGGGGAGATGTCATGCTATGCATTTTACTATGATTTTAAAAAATGGAAAATGGAGGGCATGAGCAGATGATTCACAAAAGTAGCTTCAGAAAAATGGTACTTAAACATATAAAAAAATCTAACCTCATTATCATTAGAAAAATAAATTTCAAGTACATTGAAACACTATTCCTTACGTGAAAAGTAAAAAATTGGCAATAAATTAAAATATATAATAACACACTGTACTGGCTAGGCTAAGAGGAAACATAAACTCTCATAGATTGCTGATGAAAACTTCAGTTTTTAACAACCAAGTCTTAGGAGAATCTGAAATTATCTCACAAAACTGCATTTGCACTTCTCTTTTGAACCAAAATCCCATGCCTAGAAACCTACCCTGCAAGTACACCCCCAACTATAGGAAAACCCATATTTTAAGGTTACTTATTATAGCATTATTTGTAATTGCAAAATATTGGAAATAATCTACATGGGTATTTATAAAAGGGTAAACTATGGTACACAATAAAGTAATAAGAAGCTCTCTTTGAATTCCTATGGAGTGGTTTTCAGGATACACTTTACACACACACACACACACACACACACACACCAGGGGCACTTGACCACTGAGCTACATTTCTTTTTGTATTTTATTTAGAGACAAGGTCTTGCTAAGTTGCTGATGCTGGCTTTGAACTCAAAATCCTCCTGCCTTAGCTTCCCACACATGGGAATTACAGGCATGTGCCACTGTACCTGGCTCAGAATATACTGTTAAGAAGGGGGGGAAAAAAAGCAAAGTCAAAACCTGTACAAAATCTTTCTTTGTACAGAAAGAATCACAGGAAGGATGAATAAGAAATGAAGGAGATCCTTTACCCCAGGGAGTGAGTGGAAATGGACAGAGAGGATATGACACCGCTGACTATACTTTCTATAGTGTTCTGACATTTAAAACCATGCTAATGTATCATAACTAAATAAAACAAACACATAAAAGAACCAGTAATAACAACAACAACAAATCAAAACAAATAAATAAAATTTAAAAGGATAGGGATGAAGGGAAACCAAAATGCAATATGCACAAAAATATTAAACTAACAGTAACAAATAACTTCATTGAGGAGCTCCTGATGTGGGGGGAGGTGCACTGGCCTACATGACTTTGGAAAACAAAATTTTACTCCAAGACTGAGACAGGAAGGATTGTACACAAATGTTAAGGTCTGTAAACAAGTCTGGATGGTGCCTGGCATTTTGCCAGAGGGAGTGGTTAATGTTAAGGTCTGTAAACAAGTCTGGATGGCGCCTGGCAAAATGCCAGAYGGAGTGGTTTGTGAAGTAACGCCAGCGAGCCATTAAGTGTGGAGATTCCTTATTGGTTGACTGCTGTATCTAGTTTATGTTAATTAAGATAAGCTGTGTGGAATGTATATATACCCCTCCTGTCCTACAATAAACGGCTCCCACTCCTGCTGTATCAATGTACACAAGTTGCTCATCACCCCCCGGTTATTTTGCCCAGCCAGCCGGGCTGCAGCACACAAATATTACACTCTAGTTAGTAGATCTGTTTTCTATAAAGGTCAAGGGTCAACAGTTCTGAAACTACTTTACGTGTATTCKAGAATCAAGAAAATATATTGTGGGTAATGAGAGCTAAGTTTGCTATTTAAGATGGGAAAATGTCAAAAGAACACAAGAGCCAAATTAGAAGGACTCCCAATAGTCAAAACTGAGGCCATTGAAGGAAGAACACAATGGGTGCTGGTAATTGATCATACTGCATAGGAAAAAATAAGAATGCACCAGTTCATATTGATACAAATAATTACTTTGATTAATTAATTAGAAGGAAGGGAAAGCTCTTAATTCTAACTAATACAATGTAGATGATGTAAATACCAACTCTATTTGGCAATCGAAATAATAAAATTTTTTCAGCAGAGAATCAGCAATGGAAGTCAAATTTAGTAGGTAAAGGTATCTTTATATAGTTTCAGAGTAACTTTATACATGATAATTATTAAATGAAAAGAGGAAAATCGTAACTTCTAGTGGAGAAACCTGGAACACCACCCTAAATCAAGTGCCTGTACTTAGCAACACCACTAATGGGGCAAGTCAGGATCCTGGACCTCTTCACACCATACACTGAAGGGGACACAGCAAGTCTTCTGGGGTATCCTTGGCAAAATGTACATACAACCTGAATTCATCCCAAGTTGAAAGACATTCTGCAGAAAACTGGCTGGTGCTAGTATTCTTCAAAACCATCATGGTCATAAAAATCAAAGAAAGGTTCCAAATTTTAGGAAATTGAGGAAACATGACAACTAAAGATAATATGTGATCGACTGAATCGACTCCGTGACCCAAAAGCAAAGGGCATTTGTAGGATGAATGGTAAATTTTGAATAAGAAAATGGTATTTTATATATGTTAATTTCCAATTTGGGTCATTATATTGTGATCATGTAAGATATAACAATCTGGGTAAAAGTATAAAGAATTCCTGGTACTATTTATGCATTTTTACAAGTCAGAAATTATTCAATGTAAAAATATTTCTAAATGTTTTTCATTTAAAACTTTTTTTTTTCAGTGCTAAGGATCAAACCAAACCTGGATCAAATGATCTAACACCAAGCTACATTCCTTGCCCCTAAAAATGTTTTTTAAAAATCTAAAAAAATTTTTTTTGCAGTGCAAGGGATCAAACCAAGAGTAGTGTCTCACACATGCCAAGCAAGCACTCTGCCACTGAAGCACATCCCCAGACTCCCAAAATCTAATTTTATCACTCCTGAAGGCCTTTACTCACTTGAAGATTATAAAAGGAGTCAAGAGGAGCACTGATGTTTGATCTTTAAGAAGAAATTTATTTGAACAGAGCAGTTCTTGTGTTGTGTGTCTCCTAAGAGGGACAAATAAGAGGCCTAAGTCTACTGAGCAGGATTTTTAAGAGGCCACTCCAAGAGATGGGTTTACGTTCCTTGAAGTTATGGGGGATGGATGTGGTGCTGACACCTGCCTGAGGCCTCTAGAAGACAGAAGCTGTGACTGTGGCCACAGGTGGTCAGGCAATAGGCAGTAAGAGAGACACTTGCTGCTGTACTGGGGACAAAACAAAGCAGTTGCCTGCTTTGTTCCAAATCCCAGAGGCCAGATACAGGACCTACAGAAGGAATGGCACCTGAGATTGTATTAAAATCGATCGTGTCTATAACTTCTGCAAAAGGGTGAGAACTTTGAAAGAGAGCGAGCCTATGAAGGGCCAAGTACAGAAGAACCAGACGCTTTGTGGAGAGAAGCAGCAGCAGCAAAGGGATATAGACGACTTCTTGTACCCAAAGGAACACAGTGAGGGAGTCCTTGGGAGATCTTCAAGAGAGCTGACAAGAGAAAGAGGTGGCTGACAACACCTGTCGGGCCAGAGAGGGCAGCAAGCTGAGCCGCACAGAACCTTCTGACCTGCCTCCCCTCTCCATGATTTGGCTGTGAGAGAAGCTGGGCACGCCCCTTCCCAGACTGCAGAGGTGCTTTAACTCTGATCAAGTTTAGAGTTTTAATTATTATATAGTTACATTATATTATATATTATATGTGTTATATTATATTGTATATTACATTATATATTATATTATAATTATTATATTATATATATTAGTAAGCACCTAGTTACCAAGACCTTATTTGATGACTTAACGTGACCACAGAATTCTTTATGAATAAGCAGAAGTAACATGAAGTCGGCTGAGTTTTCATCTATGCTAACAGGGAAATGTATCCCACTAAATCAAAAAAAAAATGGCTGCCCATTAATTATGATAATAGCAACAACAGTAACCAGGCAAACTTTCACCATCATAGAATCATTAGCCCCTTTCAAACATAGCTCACTGCCAGCCATGGGGCAGGGGTGGGTGGAAGRATAAAGCAATATCAGAAAAACTTGAAAGGGATCTACCTGAAGATTGCTACAGGAAAGGGCAATCACATCCTAAATGGGGAGTGACATATAAAATACAGTCTTGATGGCCTCCCACAGTGGTATCTGTTCCACATTCTGGTGATGAGCCATCCTCTGCTGAACGGGGAACATCAGAAGCAGCCATTTTTACCAACCATGAGGCAGAGGGCTCACCCAACCACCCATGGGTAAACACRCCCACAGCTTTACATGAGAGGGACTTGAATATGTCCTCCTCTTACAACAGGCCACCCTGATGATGAACGCTGCACAGAAACCCCATAGAGCTATGGGGGTGATGGGAGTCTTCTCTGGAGGCATCTCCTTGCTATACTTCCACTGACACATCCCAAAGGCAGATTCCTGAGGTTGGCTTGCCAACAGCAAGCTGAACACTAACTGCAGAGAAGCCGTTTTTCCTTGGTTCTGCATTATCTCAGAAAGCACCTCCTAAAGACAGAGGAAGAGACGGTGACCCCGAGACTGGACGAAAACACACCCAGAGAACACGGGAGGGAAGGAACACAGGTCAAGGAGGCACGGCTCCCACAGAGGGGAGCAGAAGGGCACTCGCAGGCTGTGAGCTTTGGCTGTACCTTTCTGCACACCCAAGTTAAAAGCACAGCTCCTTTGACACTGTCCATGCTGGGGAAGCAAAGGACTCACAGGGGCAGGTCCAGCGGCAGCCGCAGGTCTCTTCCACCCGAATAGGGGACTGGCCACTGGGGCATGAAGGCCTGGGTCCCCGGTCACAGTTGACCCGATGATTCTTCAACAAGGTCTGACCATCTGGCAGGCAAGTGACTGTGTGGCACTGATCTGGCAAAGTCCAGACATCCCCAGGCTGCATGAGATTAAAAACAGAGTCAGGTAAGGAATGGGCTGAGGCACCACAACTCGAAGTCCATCTGTCACACAGCTGACCACCTCTGAGGACTCAAGAGATCGGCCTTCATGGCAAGGAGGCTGTACATGAGATCAGAAGCAGGATTCAAGGTCTACAGATCCCCAACCCCTTCCCACCAAAAATAACAGGAGAGTAGAAGCAGAATTGGACTCAGACCAAGAAGAATGAATTAACCAAGAAGAGCCCAAGAATACATGTGTGATCTTTCAAAGTCAGAAGAAAAGGACTTACCCTCTTCTCATTCCCATCTTCATCCATGCAAATTCTAACAAACCCTGAAACAGATACAAATAGATCTTTCGTTCCCACATATCACCCAGAAATTCTAAGCCATTCTTGATGTCTGCTTGGGCTGCCTGGTCTCACCTTAAAGACAACTCAACTCTGAAAAGAATCTGAGTTGGTTTCATAGCGGGGGCAGAGGACACAAGGTTAAGAAGTGAACATCTGTCCTTCATCAGACATGCTTTGTGGTAATTATTAATTATGATAATAGTAAATAGTGACCCAGGGTGAACTTTACACCATCACAGAATCATTAGCCCCTTTCAAACATAGCTCATTGCCAGGAATGGGGGGGCGGGGGAAGGTAAAGCAAGATCCTAAAAACTTGAAAGGGATCTACCTAAAGATTACTCCAAGGAAAGGCAATAACTCTGTAAGGTTATGGCTTACAGTTAATTACATTAGTAAAATACAATAAAAAAAGCTCCCCCCCCCAGAATTATATGTTTGTGTGAGTTTTTCTTCTTTTGAGTTTCTAACCTAAAATCAACTTAATCTATGGTCCTTTGAATTTAGATTCTATGTTTTTGGACTTCTAACGCCCTATATACTCATGTGAAGAGTGAGTATAGGACTGTGGTCTGCAAGATGTTGGGGTTCCTTGCTTATGCCTTCCAATTTTTTTGTTCAAGATCCCTCTGCACAAATAAGCATGGCTTTCTCAGCTAAGTTTAGATGGATGGTTCCAGTGGAAGGAGGAGGATGAACAGAATACTTTCTGGTGGGCACTGGAGGTTTGTAGTGTTTGCCTTCCATAAGCAGAAACTTAAAAGGTCCTGGTCTAGAACCATCTTCAGTCAAGGGCAGATCTTGTGCTCTTTTTCAGAGGCACCTTGGGTCTCTAACAGTAGTTTGGGTTTTGTGGGGGATTTTGTCATTGCTTTTGTTTTTGAGATAGATATGAAGGAAAAGACTCACCAGAGCACAGCTTGTGGAGGAAGGAACTGTCCAGGGTGACCATCGTCGGGAGGTCTTCAACTCGCTGGAGCCTTACCACATTGGACCTGGCCTCTGGGCCTGCCAAGATCCTCAGTTGGGCTTCGTCATACCGATCCCCAATGCCAATGGGGAACACTGACACTCCTAGAGTTAGCAAAGGGACAAGAAAGGTTCTGTGGTCAGATGGGCTCACAACAGACTGGCTTGATGCTGTTCCCAATACCAGCATGGAACTGTTTAGTCTGGTCACATACAGCAGCCCTGTGAAGAAGGCATTCATTCACTCTGAGCTCCTACTCTGTGTCAGGTACTGTCCTAAGTAGTGGGGACATAGCAATGAGCCAAGCCATAACATCCACGTTCCCTGTCTTCATGAAGCTTATGTCAGGAAGGGATAGACAACAAACAGCTACAAAAAACAAACAAACCAACAAAAGACCCTCAATATATAGTATTTTAGATGTGTACGCATGCTTGTGGGGAAATGAAATGGGATGAGGAGGATGGGAACGCCCAGGAGTAGGGATGGGGGTTATCATTTTATATATGGTGGTTAGAGAAGTGTTCAGTGAAAAGATGGAAACAAGGATAGAAGGAGGCAAGAGGACATCTGAGGGGGGAATAACCCAAGCAGAGAGATCGGCGAGTGTGAAGGCCCAGGGCAGAAGTGCATGCTCTGAGGGCACTGCTCTTGCAAAGCTTCTCAGGCCGTGGTCAGGACATAATGTGTTCTCTTAAGGAAACAGAAACCAGCCAGGACTGGGGGGCAGAGGAGTAACAGGAACTGACTTGGATTGCACAGGATCAGCACAGCTGCCGCTCTGAGAATGAACCATGGGAGACTAGAGTGAAAGCCGAGGTTGCAGTTAGAAAACTACGGGGGTGATCCAAGTGTGAGACACTGGGGACTGGGGTATGGGTGATGGTGTGATCCTCAACATATTTTGAGACTTGGCTGTGGTTTGCAGCTGGATTGTACGGGGGCATGAGAGAAAAAGAGGATTCGAGGATGCTGGGATCTTTAACCTGAACAACTTGAAAGGACCGAAAAAAAAAAAAATACAACAAGAGGAAATTTGGTTGTGATGTCAGGAAGCTGGTTTACAGGGAATTGCCTGTTAGAACATTGATGCTCAGTTGAGGGGAGAAGTCTGGGCCAAGGACAGGAATATCAAAGTCTGTGGTATATAAACACGTTTAGACTCATGGCACTGTATGAGACCACTGAGCACTGGGTAGAAGAGAACATTTCACAGTGCTAAGCCCAGATCACTTCCTGCCCAACTCTCGATAAGAAATTGAGACTTTAAATAGTTCAGTGACTTGCCCTGAGTCACCTCTAAACAATATTTGCTTTTTTTYCCTAATAAAACTCTTTCTCTAGATTCTTGATACTAAAGGAGAAAAATCTCCAACCTAAAATTCCTTAATTCAGCTTTCCAGAAAGTTCTAGGTATTTGTAATTTGAAATAGAGTGGAGTTGCTAGCAACTTTTTAGCTCCTGTGAGTTCATTTTATCATCCAAATATATACCCTTTACCTTCTAGTATCCTTTTTCCTAAAATTATAGATTTCAACAATATATCATTCATTCAACAAAAATATTAAGTGGTCAGCGTTTTGTGAATCGCACACAGGTGATCCAAAAATATAGCAAGATTTTGCCCTTTACAGAACTCCCAGTTTGTTCCAGAAAGAGCTATGTACCAAACTAATACAATACAATTGGCACATTTTGAGTATTTCAGGCTAAGCAGCATTTGAAAAAGGAAGAGTTAGTTCTCCAGGTGGTCATGAGAGGACTTGGCATCACCCTACTCACTCAGACCTCCCTTGGGCACATGATGTCTCCATCCTGGCTCACTTATGTTGCAATTCACAGCAAGGGTTCTATGGGGCACCAAGGCCAGGTCATATCTATGCCCTTCCCCACCCAAATGCACCATCGTTTGTGTCTTGTCCCTCCAGCTCATTAGCCTGGTAACAGCAAAGGGTTCTGAATACATGAAGACCCTAACAGTTCTCCAGGACCCACAATGAGTCACTCTGGCCTTAGGTGTGTGGCATTCTGGAGAAAGACCAAGAACACCACATTAAAAAGTAAAGGTGTAGAAGTACAGTCATCCCTGGACACAGGAGGAGAATGCGAAGAATTCAAGGCTGTCATCACAGCACACAGACAAGCCCAGTAGAAATGCACCCTTACTATTGATTTGTTTCCTAATAATGCCATGACTGAACTATTTCCTGATGTTTGGTATGCAAGTGGGTATCAAGCAAATTCAAAATCAGCCAGAACATCCAAAAGCAACCTCCACCCACTTTCACTCCTCTGGCTTCTTAGAAGAGTCTCGGGATTGTACACTAGACACTCACGGCTGGATCTGGCCACTTCAGCTGCTGCATCCACTGAATCAGTGGAGATGTCCATGACCAGGACGACCACTGCCTTTGAGGATCCAGGCCTGGCACCATGTACTTCTGAAGTGACATATCGCACAGCAAAAGCCAAAGCATCCCCTGAGAAAGAAGATCAGACCAAGTCAGTACCAACTGCAAAAGCAAGTGTTTCTGAAGCAGGTGCACATCCAGTCTCATGGAGGATCTTTAAATGGTTAGAAGACTGAACAATTTACAGTAGGATCTGGAAGAGACCTGGAAGAGCATCCAGACAAGGCATCAAGTGACAGACCAAGGTCACTCAGTCACTTATGCCAAGAATCAGGACCGAACACATATTTTGCATCCAGGCCAAGGCACCAACATTACCAATTTGGCTGGGGCCTCCCTCCCGCTGCATAAGATCCACTAGATTCAGTAAATGGGCTTTGTCCTGGGCCACATTCCAGGGCACATCGATGGTGGTGATGCTTCCATATTGGAGCACGGATACCTGAGTGAGATGAGGCCCTAATGGAAAAGAAAAAATGAGAGTCATTTTGAATCAGAGCCAGAGCCTCTTTCACCTGTGGCCTCAGGTGTATCACTCACCTATGTTGGCCTTGGAAATGAAAGCCTTGGCAAAACTCTTCATTTCATCAAAGTAAGAAGCTGGAAGACCAGAGGAGCCATCCAGGAGAAGGACCACATCCAGGGGCTGGCTGCAGTCTGCAAAGAGAACAGGAAGGTGAGCACACAAGGACTGCCAGGAGACTCCAAGTCAGGAGCCTCTCGGGGGAGTGTCCCAAAGTCCTGGATGAAGACGGGGGCATAGGGCCAGCCGATGCTCTCCAGCTCCTGCACATCAGCCAGGCACCACATTCAGTGGGCTATGCAGGGCTCTCAGGACCACATGGCTAGGTATTGGGATAGTCCTAAACATACGGAAGAGACTGGCTTACAAAAAGGTTAAGTATTTGCCCAAAATTATCCAGCTAGCAAGTGGCAGAGGTGAGATTCAAAGAATGTAAGGTGATCTGTTTCCCCAATCTGAGTAGTGATGTCACTTGTCACCTGACTTCCTGGCCTTGACTGGAGGACTGTAAGCTACCTGGAATAATTCCATCCATCCAGTGTGGTCTAAAGGAAGCTGACTGTCACCAAAATTGACAGAAGTTACCTTCAAGGCAGAAAGTAGGATTGAGTGGGGATGCAGCTGAGTGATAAAGTAAGACTTGCATTTTTCACTCCATATCCTTGGTATTTTTTAAATATTAATAATAGGCTTGTATGACCTTTGAACTCATAGTCACCAACAAAATAAGATTCCCCAACACACACACCCTCACCTTGCAAAAAAAACAAATAAATAAATCACCATGTAGTTCTCTCCTGCCCAGAGGAGGATACACAGGCACTCTAAGGCACAGGTTTGACCAAGTGCACGGAGCAGGGAAGGTGGGATTAGAACCCAAGGGTCACATGACTACAGCTGCACACAGCACCAAGGCTCCTCATTGCTCCCACTCGCACATGAGGCGTCCACATACCTGGGGCAGTGGGTAGAGTGGGCAACTGCAGCCCCTCTTCAGAGCAGCACCTCTGCAGCACCAAGTCAGGAGCCTCTCGGGGGAGTGTCTCAAAGTCCTGGATGAAGATGGGGGCATAGGGCCAGCCGATGCTCTCCAGCTCCTGCACATCAGCATGCGGGCCCACGCCAATGGGCACCACCTGGATGTCTCCAGGCAACCTCTTGATCTCATCAGAAGCAGGATTTCCGGTGACCATGTAGACCAGGTTAGGTGCCTGGTCCCGGTCTCCCTGGCCAGCAGAGAAGCTGTTCTCAGAAACATACTGCAGGGCCAGTCCCGTGTTGGTCCTGTTTCCACCCCGGTAGCGGATCTCCCGCACCTGCTGCAGCACGTCTCCTTTGGACTGCGCCTCGCTGAAGGTATGCTCCACGGTCACCGTGTACGAGTACTGCAGCACAGAGACGTGGATGCTATCCTGGCCCACGTCCATGCGCCGAATCACCTCTTCCATGAACTCCTTGCTCCTGTTGAAGTTGGCCTCCCCAACTTTGTCTGAGCCCTCCAGGACAAACACCACATCCAGAACCATGGAGTTCCTCCTGCGTCCCGATGGTGAAATTTCCAAGAGCCCGGGACCCACAGTGACTTGTGCCACTTGGGGATGCTGCGTGGGTGCAGGGACCTCGGGGGCAAGGTCACAGGTGTAGCTGATGATCTCATCCCTTCGCTGCTCCAACTCGTCCACGCTGCTCAGCACAAAGGCCTTGTTTTCAGGGGCCTGCTTCTCAATGAGGCGGATCTGCTTGAGGTTGGCATGTGGCCCAATGCCCACCGGTATCACAATGACCTTCTTCTTCTTCAGTCCCTGGACATAGCGGACCAAGTTCCGGGTCATCTTTGGGGGTTCCTGGCTGGCAGTCAGGAGCAGCACAATGCGGGAGGCTTCAGGGCGGGTGATTTTGCCAAAGATTTGGAACAGAGTGTACTTCAGGACCTCGCTGGTGGAGGCCACCTGGCTGCCCACGTACTTCACCTGGCTGGTGATGCGCCGCAGCTCTGAGGGCCGCTTCCGAGCCTTGAGTTCAATGTAGGCATGGGAGCCGTCATGGTACTCCACCACAGCCACACGGATCCGCTTCTGGGAGATTTGTAGTCTCTCCATCATACCCACGACAAAGGCCTTCAGCACTTCAAACTCAGCCTCGGAGAGCTTGGAGGAACCATCCAGCAGGAAGACCAGATCCAGCAGCTTGCTGCAGTAGAAGTCATGCATGGGTGGCTCTGGGGTGTCCTCCACATACGGGGTGGTGGCCCCAAGTGGGGCATCTGTGGGGGGCAACACCAGGCCTCCAGGTTCCTGGCAGGCTTCACAGGTAAGGTTGGCACCATCACAGTGACTGTAGCAGAGGGGAAGAAACAAATGATTCACAAAGAGCCAGCCGACACTCGTCGACCCTACAAAGTAGGACACTGCCCATACTCCCAGAGAACTGTCTTCCTGCTCCTTGGGAACATTCCCACCTAAGTGAGCCATCATTGTTAACCTCTATTTCAAGATACCTGAAAAAGAATCTCTGTTGTTCTCGGCCAGATATTCAGTGATGACTTCTTTCCAACCGACATCTCTAACCGCATTAATATTTAATTATAATTTAAACTTTCTTGCAAGTATCCCCAAGGACAAATATTGCTCTAAAATATTGACGCTGACCAGGACTTATAAATGTTCTATGGAAGATAAATTGCTTATAGTGCTGATTATAACAGAATTTAAGCAGTGTGGATTTTGAGTCATGTTTAATACGTTGGATCTTAAGGAAGAAAAGAAACTCTGGAGTAAAAAAAAAAAAAAAATTTGCAAAGATGAATAAACATTCGAAGTCCCAGTTTTATCTAGTAGAGTAGTAGATGGGGGTCTTCCAGACCTAGGAAAATCAGTAGCAACTTCGTTCGTTCCTACTCCTGTTATCTGCCAGGTGCTAACTGGCTAGACCCAGTGTCCAGGCCCAAGCCACCCCACAAGTCTGTGTCGGAGCCATTGCCCGCCCACAAATTCCTACAATACCAGCAAATGTCAGGCTCTCCTGATCACTTCACTCTTTTGCAAAGTGACAGGGTACACCAGATCATACGCGAAATCAAGTTGCCCTGTTTGGAACCCGTACAGGCTAGGCCTTCTCCGTTTTTGTGCCCTCTGTCTTCGAGCAACCTGCCTTTGGCACTCTGGGTAAAGCTGAGAAAGCAACAGTGCCCTGAGCCCTGGGAAGTGTCCCCTGTGGCGTGGCTGTCAGGCCTGCCATTCACACTGTTCACAACACTTGATGCCTCAGGCTGTCGGCGTGTATGGCATGTACCATGGTAGCTTCCCCTCCCATGAGCTACCAGCAGAGCAGGCAGGGAGAGGCCTCTGAGCTCTCCTGCCCTTTCAGCCCAGAGCTCCAAGCCAGCATTGGACTCGGAGTCTCCGTCTCGGCTTAGAGAGGCTGGGAGGCAGGGTCTGACTGGAAAGTTTCTTGTACTTCCTCATGATCCACACAATTTATTGCTGCAATCCTTAGTTAACGGTGCGTGAGTGACATACTTTCTAGTTTCCTGTGTTTGCTAGAAAACCCACCCCAGGCAGTGTTGGCTCTTGTTTGCACAGATGGTGGTGCAGGATTTGGCTCCCGCAGCTGTGACCACAACCCCTTCCCTAGTGAGTCGAGTTTCTCAAGTTTAAGTTCCCATTAGGTTTGATCGGTGTCAGGGAATGGTGTTGGATACATCAGCATTTTAATAAATGTTCCCTACTTATGGGCAGGACTTCAGAAAGTTCAGCACATGCCCCAAGGACTCCCTCTCACCTCCCCAGGGGCCATTTTCCCAGAGGCAGTTCCGGTGAGAGCCCAGGGTGCCAGCAATGAATGTCTTCTCCCCAGTTCTGAAAGCGCTGTCCTGTGACTTTGACAGCATCCCCAAGATGTCTATGTTGTACATAGGGGTCCGGGGTTCATCTCACTTTCCTTGCCTGCATCCCCACCTTTTTTGAAAAATCTAGCTGGACATGGTGGCACACGCCTGTAATTCCAGCAACTTGGGAGGCTGGCAGGAGGATCGAGAGTTCAAAGCCAGCCTCAGCAACAGCGAGGCACTAAGCAACTCAGTGAGACCCTGTCTCTAAATAAAATACAAAATAGGGCAGGGGATGTGGCTCAGTGGTGGAGTGCCCCTGAGTTCAATCCCTGGTACCAAAGAAAGAAAAAAGAAATCTGATTTTCATATATTTGTCCTTGAACTGTCTCTCTTACTACAAGAACAGTAAGAGCCACAAAGAAATGAAAATGATAATTTCTCTGATTTGATCAGTACACACAGTATACATGTATTGAAATATACTGTACCCCACTAAAATATATAAGTATTACATGTTTGAAAGAGAGAGAGAGAGAGAGAGAGAGAAAGGGAAAAAAAGAAATAGAGAAACCATACCCTGTCTTCCAAAAAATACAGGCAAAAACCTTTTAGAAAGTAAAATACTTCAGAAATATTTGGGGAGGGGGGTGTAAAACAGTCTAGTCTGCTCTTTAAAAAAAAAGAGAGACACACAAACTCTAGAAACAAACTAAACAATGAACTAAACTAAGTCATCAATGAATTAGCAAATTTACTAAATAAACTCAATGTCTCAGTTCACATAGCTAGGAAGTTTTCTCCAAAGCCCAGCCTCTGAGCAAGCCCCACAGAGGAYAGTAAGATTGGCCACTTCATCAGCAACTTAGCAAGGCCCCAAGCAACTTAGTGAGACCCTGTCTCAAAATAAAACATAAAAAGAGCTGAGGTACTGCTCAGTGGTAACGCATCCCTGGGTTCGATCCCTTCCCCTCCCCACCCCTCAAAAGACTGGCCACTTAGACAACCAGGGAATCCATTTTACCAAGTCTGGCAGCGCGCAGGGTCATCGGGGTTCAAGGTGACTTTCCTTCCAGGGGCTAAGCGCCGGCCAGCCACCTCACACACGGGGCAGTCTTGGGGGTCGATGCAGGTCTGCAGAAGTTCATCCAGGATTTTCCCTGAACAGCACATCTCTCATTAGTAGCTGACCACTCCCCTTTCACATAAGGAAGGCTCCACTTTCACTAAGGGGCCTGTCTCAGGAGCCATTCTGCCTGCCTCTCCAGAGGCCACCTCACCCCACAGGGAGGAGCATCCCGCCTCCTTCATGCTTTCATTCTTCTTCTGCAAACTTGGAAGGAGGCTTCCCTCCCCCTGCCTCACCTCCTCCAAGCCTGGAATCTTATCTCCAAGGCCTTTCTCACGCTTCTGAAGAATGTATTCAGTCATTTTAGAGCTGCGCTATTCAATATGTCAGCTATTAACCATCTGTGGTTATTTATATTTAAATATAAATTAAATTTATATAAGGCATCCACCACTGCATTCAATGAGGCATTCCCACCATTTGCCGAAGTTCTATCAGAAAGTGCTACTCTACGTGTTTGATAAACCCCTAAACTGACACACCAAAGCACTTTGTAGAAAGGACTCACAGTGTAGGGGCAGAGCATTGTCAGCAAGGAGCAGGGTGTACCCTCCCTTACACACAGGCCATGCAGCACAAGGGCCCAGGTTCAATCTCAAGCAACAAAGGGCSGGGGGGAAAGCATTTGATAGGACTAGGTGACTGTGTTCTTTGTGGTGTTGGGGATGGAACTCAAGTCCATGGGCATGATAAGCAAGCACTCGACCACTGAGTCACCTTCCCAGCCCTGGCAGGAGCTCCACCTAGCAAAAGCCAGAGCTTGCCTGGCCTTGATGAAGGGACCCACAGACACACCTGCTGTAGGGTTGTGGGGTTGGGGATAAGGCATCACTGGCAGAGCTGAAATGAAGCAGGATGGGGAGGCTCCCATCCTGGCAATCAATCCCCTCCCTCCTGCCCGGCCCACCCAGGGAGAGCCTCACCTGAAGGGCAGTGTGCATGGCAGCCCTCCACACACTGCACAGGGCAGGCCAGAGGCTCCGGGTGCTGGCAGGTGACGGGACAGGCAGGCGCGCAGCTGTTATAGCGCCACTCACACTCATATCCATTCTCCCGGAGATTCTTCTCCTCACAGCTCTGGGCTGTGTAGACAGAAAAAAAGAGGCCATGAAATCACCCTACAACACCAGAAGCCAGGACTGCAGCGAAGGACCCAGAGAGACCCAGGGAGACAGACCCATGAGGTAATGACTGTAAGACAGGGAGGTGGGGAAGGCGGTGATCAAACCTGGGAACAAGGACTACCAGAGTTGCCAACCGTGGAAACTCCTGGGATTTTTTTAAGGACCATATTTTATATTTATATTTTATTTATATTTAAATCAACTTTCCCAGCCCTGGCAAAACTGAGGGTATGACTTGGTTTCCTACAGAAAAACATTCAGTTGTGTATGCCCAAGGAGGGAAGGCTCCTTATAAATAGGTGAGTTGATTACTAATAGTGGCAAATATGATCAGCTCTAAGTAAAGACATATATTGACTTTCTTCTGTTCACCAGTGTTCCCTCTCATTCTTCTTTAATTTCTCCAGAAGAAAAGTCACCATGCATGGACGTCCTRAATCCACCATGGTTCTCCCTCATTATGTCAATGGTTTACTCACATGGCTGTCTTAACTCTCCTCAGCCCTGGACCATCTCTTTGCACACTACGGCTCTCCCTCTCTCCCACAAAGTGTCCTCTTGCACCCCACAAGGCCTTCGGATCTAGATACTCATTGGGTGAAGGGAGGGTATCTGAGACCACAAGGGTCATCAGGACTCACGGCACAATGTGGCCGTCCTCCAGGTCACCACCTTGCCATGCTGGGCACACACGTGGGCGTAGGCAGCGATGGTGTCACAGAAGCAGGAACAGTCCCCAATGGACTCACAGGAACAGGTGTCRTAAATGCAGATGTCCAGGTACGGCTCAGGGTCCACCTGCAAAAGGAGTTCTTGGGTGGCCTGGGCCTAGGGCCAAGAACAAGGACTCTGGCTCTTGGTCTGCGTGAGAATCTTCTGGTGGCAAGTCGTAGCATAAGTGTTCTCCAGGGTAGAAAGAGAAATGTAGGCCAAAGGTCCCAAAGAGGGAACAGGCAAAAAGGCAAGATTCCTAATTTCTCATCTCGATTCCAGCAAGAAATGTTAAATAAAACCTTTTGCAGAATACCATGTGCATGAGAATGTTTCAAAAGAACATCCCCTCTGTCCATCTTCACCTGCCTCTTGCCACCTATCCATCCCATAATCCATGGATGTTTAGTTGTTTTTACATAAAACACACACACAGGGTTGTCATTCTTCCCTTGTCTCAGTGCATCAAAGAGAATAAGGAGATGCATCTGGACCCACTCAAGTTATCTCACTGAAGAGCTAAGTACACTGGACAGTAGGACCCAACTCACCCCAAGGACACAGGAAGGAGGGGAGGCCCACCCACTACCCACTTTCCATTACACTAACCACTTCCCACCTTTCCTATCCCCCAAAACATGCCAGTACACACACCTGGGTTTTTCAGGATAGTTGCGATAGAAATGAATTCTCGCATGAAGCCGAYCATTGTTTCTAAGACATTCCAACAGTCGTGATTTCCCTGGCTCCTCTCTGCCTACACTCTTCCAACTCAGATACCCAGTGTCTCCACCAAAACAAGAATCCTAAGTACCCTTTGGATCTCCATGGGCTGAGAGATTTTGGATGGACAGAAAGAGAACTGAGATACACGTATTCAAASAGCCTCACCTGCATTGGTGGTACCACAGAGCAGCAGGCCCATGGGTGCAGCTCCGTGTGTACATATGGTCATGCATTGCACACTCACCCACATGCACGTGTGTGCTCACACATACAAAGAAAGACAGTGAAGTGCATTTAACTTTGGGGAATTCCTAATTGTCATTTGAGATAAAGACACAAAAAGAGGTAAAAAATGAAGACTCTGGAGTTAAGACCAGAAAAGAATCTCTGTGAGAAGAGAACTGGACACTAAATGGGTCGTTTGTTCACAGAGGGATCCTTGGAGGGCTCTGAGGCCTGGAGACACAGAACAGTAACAGGAAAAGAAAATCCTTGGTTCTGTTGCTGGAGCTAAAATAATGCCAAGGAAACAAACCCTAAGACTAGGCCAAAAGAGAAGCATTGGCATGTGCCAAGTCTCTTCTTGTGTGGAAGGAAGGCGTTGCACCAATCATCACTCCTCAGAAGCCATCAGCTTTCCCTCTGCTTCCAGCCTGTAACAGTGTCTTTTTTTTTTTTTCTTTTTTAGTGGTGTGGGCGATCAAACCCAAGATGTCATGCCAAGAGTTCTACTACTAAGTGACACCCACAGCCCTGCAATGGGGCCTTGATGCAGATCCCTTCAAGACTCCAGGCTACTTAGTGTCCACTAGAAATCCATGCTCTAGGTGCCGAAGCTACTGGGCTCACCCTTTCGATGACTCTGCCTCCCTCCACCTTTCAAGCCCTTACCAGCTTGTGGCAGTCCTGGAAGATGTCACTGGTGAGGATTCTGCAAGAGGAATCCACCATCGTCTGCTTCATGATGTTGTTATGGCAGGTGGCAGGGGACACGTCCAGTGGCACCTGGGTACAGAGAGGAGCGCACAGTAAGACTCACAGTCAGGCAGTCAAACTGGCTCAACTCAACCCAGAAGGAGGCATGAGACCTGCTTCCCACCCCTGCCACCCACTGCCCACCTTCCATCCCCAGGGAAAGGGGGACAATTCAGACAGCAGGCCTCTTGGGGTCTGCCCACACAGAGTCTGGGACGTACTTTTCTGGTGTCGGCACACTGTGAGCTCACTTTCCAGGAGTTCCCAAAATCCACGGGGTCTTCTTCCACTTTGAGGTTGCTGCTGGTGAAGTCGTTGTTCTGAATGCCGTCAAAATTCCCACATAGGCCACAGACTTGCTCCTGGATAGACAGATTGAGAAGATGAGCACTGTAGACCTCAGGGGCATATTCTATGTCAGTGGGGGAAGAAGGTTCCAGTAACAAAGGATCAGGAGTCATCCGAGGAGGAGGAACAGAAGGAGGAGGAACAGAAGGACGAGGAGAGGAAACAGGGACAGAGACCCAGAGAACTGGAGTGGTCAGCAAAGCCTTGCTTTTGGCAAAGCTTTGCTGATTCCATTTTGAAGTTAAGAAAACAGAGGCAACTTGTACACATCCCATTGTCAAGGGCAGAGGCCTGGAATCCCTGTTTGAACCATCACCTTCCCCAATAAGCCTCTGAGCAGAGAAAGGACCTGGTCAGTTATGACATGGGTAAGAGCACAGAGGACCAGGAAGGGAACATTATAGTCCTGCTGTACCTGGGGAGCCGCAGCCTGTTCAGGGCAGGCTGGCCAGAATTCTGCCATATGACAGAAATTGCCAGGGAAGACACAACCTATTCATTATCACATGTGGAATGTGCAACAAGTCCTGAAGGAGTGGAAACCATCAAGTAAAAACTAGGGAAAGAACTGGCGATGTTTGGCCTGGGAGAGAAGAGCTGTCGTTCTTTTGCAACATGGTTAGAACCCTGTCCTGGGGCAGAGAAAAGAGTTGCTTATTCTGTTTTGCTTCCGTGAGCAGGATTTGGCATGGTACCTTGGGGGTGCCATACAAGAATGTTCTCACAGTTGGACAAAAGGCCAAAGGGCTTTCTGAGGCCTAAGAGCTCTCCTGGGTAGCTGCTGCCCTCTCCCTATCCTCGCTGACTGTCATCCACCCCAAGGCCCTCCTCCACAGCCCTCTCGCCTCCTGGTTCCAACACTCCAGACAGCTACCACCTCAGGGTCTTTTCACATGCTCTTCCATCTGCCTAAGTCCTCTTCCCAGATAGTTACAGTACTCACTCCCTCCCTCTCCTGAAGACAATGCTCACATGTCACCTCTTCAGACAGTCTCATCAGACCAAGTTATCTAAAGAAATGTCCCACAAAAACTTAATCTCGGGCTGGGTTGGTGGCTCAGTGGTAGCGCGCTTGCCCCACACGTGCAAGGCCCTGGGTTCGATCCTCAGCACCACATATAAAATAAATAAAATAATCATGTCCAACTACAACTACTAAAAATAAAAAAATAAAAAAAAAACCTTAATCTCCTCCAGGATTTTAGAAGGCCAGATAGTGGCCTCCATCAAAAATGTGGGTTTCCTAAACCCTAGAACATGACTATGTCACCTTACATGGTGCTGTAGTTTATATGTGGTTTAGGTGTGCCCCAAATCTTCAAGACCTGGAAGTCGGGTCCCAGTGTGATGATGTAGTAGGAGGTAGGGCTCASTGGGAGTTAAGTAGGTCACTGGTGGCATCACCCTTGGACAAAATTAATGTAGTTCTCACAAGACCCCAGCAGCTCATTCCCACAAGAACAAGTTTTTTGTTTTTGTTGTTTTTTTTTTAAAGCCTGGCCTGATTCCCTCTGGCTTCCTTTGTCACCATATGAGCCTTTCTGCACGTAGCCATTTCCCCTTCTGCTTTACCACCATGTTGTGATGCAGCCAGGGGTTCCTCCCAAAGGCTGACAGGTGGGAACACCCAATCTTGAACTTTCCACTCCCAAACTGTGAGCTAAATAGAACTCTTTTCTATATAAAGCCTTTGGTATTTTGTTATAGCAACAGAAAATTGACAGCTATACAAGGGAAAGGGACATGGATGATATGATTGGGTTAAGATCTTGAGATGGGGAGATTATTGTAGCTTATCTAGGGAGGCCAAGGTAACCACTGAATATGATAAGAGGGATGCAGGAGGAGTCATAGTATGAAAGGTGATGTGCCATAAAGAGACAGAGAGACAAAGAACTTGGAAGATGCTACACTGCTGTCTTTAAACGCAGAAGATGGAGCTACAAGTCAAGAAATGAAGGCAGCCTCCAGAATTTAGAAAAGATGGGGAAATGGATTCTTCCTCATGGAAGAATGGATTCCAGGAGGAATGCAGCCCTGCTGGCTGATTGTAGGTTTTTGATCTTCAGAATCAGAACATAATAAATTTGTGTGGTTGTTTTAAGACACTAAGTTTGTGGTAATTTGTTATAGCAACAATAGAAAACAAATAGAAGGGTTAAATACACACAGACACACACATATATCTGATTTTTCCCTGCTATAACCACAGAGCCTTGGATAGTGTTTGACAAAAACTAGACATTTAATATTTGCTGAGTTTAACTGAATGAGTGATTTTCTTTCCAGCAATGGGATGGGTTGCCACGGAGAAGAAAGGACCATGCAGCCATCAGTGGTATATATACAAGCTATAAATATATATGGCATTATCAGAGATGCTGCAGAGATCATTCCTGCCAAGACCAAATCAGCCACCATAGTAAACACAGTCACTTGTCACGTACATACCACTTAGAGAAATCAATAAAGTCCTAACAAACTGTTAGACTTTAGACAAATATGGTCACCTTTCCCAAAAGTAAGTCATCAGAAAGTTTGCAAACAGCTCTCACAAAGTTCTTTCCTATGTCTCAATGATAAGGCAATACCCCAGAATGTTTTGTAGTGCTATAATGATATTTTGCATGATTTGTTTGCCTTTTTTGGGTTAAGAAAACTAAAGAAAAGCTAATATACCTAATCTTTTACTTTGCTCCTTTGTGCAAATAAACTTGCCTAGCAAGGCCAATTAAGACAGTTTGTGTCAGGGACCACCCTAATTTTTGCTATGTTCAACAAGCCTCAGTAAGAGGCAAAGCCAACTGCAACCTTGACTCCATAGCTTTATCTGTATGGGAGGCTGGACTGGAGGACCACCTTCCCCCAAGGTGATGGGAGGTGCCATTTGCTACTCAGAGAGCTGACGAAGGTCCAAACAAGTCACAGACAAGAAAAAACCATGAAAGGCTACTGACCTGGTATGTCTGCTTCAGGACCACGGAGATGGCCAGGTGGTGGTCCCAGACCACAGAGAGGGCTTTGCCCAGCAGCAGAATGATGTACCGGCCAGACTCCACCACCTCAAAGTGAGTCTCATCCTTCATGGGCCTCTTCACATTCACCTGAAGGAAGGCAAAACAGGAAAATGAGAAGTAAAGGAAGGCACAAAAGTCCACATCTTATCTTTTCTTCACATCTACCTGTCTGTCCCCATGGCTGATGAGTGCAGGAGCTGCCCCTCCAGAACACACAAATGTCCTATGTGGTCAGAGCTCACCCCTGTGACCAGCACGCCTGTGTTCATCTCACCCACCACCCTGCAAGAATATGTGACTAAGGGGTGATGATGGAGGTGGCAGAGAATTCATAATTATGAGATTAAAAACACAACAAAACCAACTAATAGAAGATCATCATCATTTTACAAAATGTGAATTTATTTTTTACTCTTGGTCATTAACTACAAGGGTCCTCCAGATATGGTTTTAACCTGACATAGCAAACATTGAAGCACTTCTGGTTGATGATTTAAAAATCCATCCCTTTATAACAATAAATACTAGACTCTCCCACCACTTCCCACTCCCCCAGAGTAGCTATTATCAAGAGCAGGGACTGTGGAGATCAATGCTAGAGCCAGGTTTAAGTCTTTAGAAGGACTCTAGCCTGAACCCTTGACCTAGCCAAAATCATCAACAGTGCCAAACCCTCAAAGCCACTGTGCACACTGGGCTGCTTCTCAGACTTATGAAATCAAGGCTGATACTAAGAACCTGTCAACCCTTTGTAGAGGTCTCCTGAATGACATACTATGTGCAGAGCTACTCATATGTGCAGATTTATCCCTCACGGTCTATACACCTCCTCTTCAATGTTACCAATGTCATCTGTCCTAAATAGAGTTCTTCTTTGAAATGGAGTTGACACAGCCCACCCACAGTCAATCACATTTGCTTGGGAGTTTTCTTCCATAATGGTGAAGAGTTCACTTTCCATCCCCTGATGTCAATGGAGGGTTTTTATAAGAAAGTAAGGATGTAGGCTGAGACCATGGAAGAAAATGGGGATATCTGAACAGATGGAAGCCCAGATCTTGGGTTGCCCTACTACCTTATGTGAACCAAAATTGTGGCCTGTGTTGACCTGCCTACCTAAATGTATGTTTCTGGGCCCCACCCAGAACTACTGCATCAGAATCTCAGGATGGAGCCCTGGTATCAGCATTTTAAACAAGATTTCCAGGGAGATTCCTGGGTAATCTTCTGAGAACCACTTCTTAAGCTTTCAGTATACAGGGGCTCAGTCTGTTTACCTCACTTTTGAGCTCTTTCAAAATATTTATCTTAAAGGCTGGGGGCATGGCTCAGTGGAAGAGCACTTGCCTAGCATATGTGAGGCCCCGAGTTTGATCCCCAGCATCTTACACATACACACCAAATGTATCTGAAGAGATCTTAAAAGTGTAAAAGAAAGTAAAAATCTCTAATAACATTATGTGTGTGTGTGTGTGTGTGTGTGTGTGTGTGTACACACAGTAGCCCCTGTTTATTCAGTTACAATTAACTGTAGTCACCTGAGTTCCTAAAATATTAAATGGAAAATTCCAGAAATAATAAGTTTTAAATAATTTTTATTATAATGTATTGTTATAGTGGTTCTATTTATTACTGTTGTTGTTAATATATTACTATGCCTAATTTATAAATTAAACTATTATAATATGTATATATAGGAGAAAACCTCATATACACTAGGTTTGGTGCTGTTTTCATTTTCAGGCATCAGCTGGGGATCTTGAAATGTGTCCCCACAGAAGAGGGATCACTGCATAGAGAAGGGAAAGTTCTCTTTCCCTCCGTGTTTCATGCCCTCTCCAGCAATAAGCACTGCTTGTTTCTACAGTTATGCGGACACGATTCTGCATCCTTCTCCACACACAAATGCAGACTTCAACCAAGTTGAAACCTTGTTATCCATATTGATCTGTCACTTGTGCTGCTCATAGACTATGTCCAGGCCAGATGTGTAGCTGGACCTCGGTCTCTGTAATGGCTGTGTCACTCCATTCCCACAGTTCTGAATGGATGCTTGATAAATGCTTCAAGCAAGCTGATAGGGGAACAAGGAGGAGCATGAGGTGGAGGAGATAAGGCTGGCTCTTACCTCGTTGTCAAATAGTTCAATCTCTCCTCCTTCCACCAGGATGGTGACCCGCTTCTTGCATTTCACTGAGGGGTAACTGCACCCCTCATTCCCCACAARGATCCTAAATGTCCCCGGGTTACTGCCACAGTAATCCTAGAGAAAGAGGGGAGGCAGAGAGAAATATTAACCCTGCTATTTCTCCCAGAACAGAAGATGGACATCTTGTTCTCGTGGGTCTTTAGATACGTGTTACAGGATGTTACCACATCCACAGGTATGTGTTTGTGCCTGTGCATACGCATGGGGTTGGGGGGGTAAACTCCCTCAGGTGTGTCATCCTCATTCATACAGGTGAACCTGGTTCCTATGTCAGTGAGGTACAGGTGTAATGATCACCAGGAGGAGAAGGAGGGGGAGAAGGGGAGGAAAAGTGGTACGTTGCATGCTTTGACAGAAGCTCCAGGCTAAAATCCCCTGCCTAGATCCCATTAATTCTTGGCCACATGCAGGTAATTAGGACAGTCTGACCACATGGCATCTTGAGGCTCTCTTGTCTTGCTGAACCCTGTAGATTGCTGACCCAGAGGGTGTAACCAAAGAGGGCTCAACACCACCCACAGCTCCCAAGCTACTCTCTAGCTGGGTTTAGAGCAAAAAGGAGCASTAAGAGATCATTGATGGTCAATTGCTTAGAAAGTTAAGAAAAAGGAGACACACGCCTGGCAAATAGTTTCCCCCATGGTGGCTACTACTGTGGTGGGATGGAATAAAGATAAAATACTCAATTTGGAGAAACAGTCTTGGCCTGTCACATGAGTAAATTGCGTACCTCTATTACACAGATATACACACACTCTTATACAGAAACATGTGCACACATACACATGTACATACATACATACACACATATATCCATATACACATACACATAAATATGCACAAATACACATGTGCATACACTCACATATATCCATACACACAAATGCACATTATACATAACATTTACACATATTTACACATACTCATACACACATACAACATCTGATCTTCCTCTATAAGATTATGAATCAGTCAACTTCCTAGGCTTGTTCAGCTAACTGGGTGTTGAATGAATGAATGGGGAAGTTAAAAGAGGGAACAAGGGTGTCAGTGATTTATTTGTGGTCACCAGCTGAGTCTTTTCTGAAGGAGAAAGGGTTAAGTCTGATAATAGTACCCAAAGGGAGCTACCGCAAGGGCAGGGTGCCCAGGACTAGCATCAAAAGAGGACCACAGGATTAGCTGTGGGAAAGGAAAATAAGTGACATACAACGGGCACAATTTGAAAGGGGATTCCTGAAAATGGGGCCACTTGGGAAAGTTTGCGTGGGCAGGAGAAGAGCTGCGGAGCAGGAGACGCTGAGCAGCTGCTTCTTCTTGCACAGAATTTATTGTTTGTTTTTTCTGGATGCTCAGGTTTGAAACTGGCTTGGTAGCTCAATAGCAAAACTGATGTCACCCTGACTTCTGCCACCGAGGTGGGAGGTAGCCCAGGAATCAAAAGACAGGCTTTCATTTCTAACCCGTGGAAAAGCTCCAGGGGGCACTCAGCCCAGGTCCATAGGTGTTCCTAAAGTACTTAAGGTACACATCCCCTGTCCCCAGCACGCTCCTCCCTGGGCCAGCTAGGGTGTGCGAGGTGGAGGCAGGCTGGCTGCTGGAGCCCCAGTTAGCTCCGTCCCCTCCCAGCATGCTCTGCACATGTGGTCTTTGTCCTGATGCTCCCTGACTCTGAGGGACCTGCAGCTCCATCTCTGGGGCTGAGGCTCCTCCAGGTTTGTGGTCCTCCCTTCAGACCACACCAAGCCCCCCCACCCTCCTCCCCTAGAGAATGGAGACAGAGAGACCACATTTGTTGAAAGCATCACAGGGCACAGTGTCTCCTCCCTCTGGAGAAAAGCACTGAGCCCCCTTGCTTACTCGTTTGGTGTCAACCAGCAAGAGAAATTTACAGGAATCTATGACGTGGGGAAGGGGAGGTAAAGGGGTTAGTGCCCTCAGTAGCTAAGGTTTCCTGACTTCTTTCTCCTTCTGCCTTGCAGAATGACTTTTTTGTGAACCTGTACCCCTCCCCCTCCTCCTCTTCCTCCTCCTTCCCCTCCCAATTTGAAATTGTACATGGTCAGAAATGACAACAGTAGAGAATGCAATAGCATCAGAGGACAGGCGTGTCATGTCAACCATCCCCCTGTCCAAGGCTGCTGCTCACCACGCAAGGGGGCTAGCAAGGCCGAGGTGGAGGGGTTCTGAGGTCCAGTTAGGCTTCACTTCCCAAACTGTGCATCTTGGTGGAGACTGACAGCTTTTTCTAACTCACATTAATGCTGATTTGGACTGAGTGTGACCTTATGCCCACACCAGTCCTACTCAACAAGTGAGCTTTCTAGGCTGTTCTGAGATACCTCCAGATGAACAGAAGGAAAACAAACACCACTTTGAGTTTTAAACCGCCTACCTCTTCAGGCACCTCTTTCAAGGACTGGAAAATTACTCCAGTAAAACCAGACCCCAGAGTTTTCTCTACAGACAGGAGGGCAAAATCTGACCTGGAAAAGCCCTACTTGCACCTCCCACCCAGAGACAGCACCTCCCCTCCTCACTCTCATTCTTACCTGTGCCAGAACGTACTGGCATTCCCCAGGGAACATATATTTGAGCCCATCAAAGGTGAGGTAGTGAGCCATGCCAATCGCGGAGCAAGTAGCATCACACACGTGGTCTGTGCAATTCCACTTCCGGTCCCGACAGACACTAGGAACAGTAATGTAACATGACTGGGTGGGCACTTTGAATGCATCTGGGTCTTAGGGAACCAGGAGGCACTGGAGGTACAATACTCCAAGTGCCACCCAACCCTCCAGGAAGCCTCAAGAAGTTAAGGGTTTGCAGCTAGAGGAACATGAAATTCACAGGCCCAGCACAGGGCCCAGAAGGACAAAGGGAAAAGATGCTGCTTTCTGGTTACAAGGGAGAAACTGAGGCCAAGAAGGACAGGGGTTGTCCACAGTGGTCCAGGCAGCTGGGGAGGAGGCCCGGATCCTCTCTAGGCCACCCGAATGGATTTGCTCAGCCTTATCCTAGAAGCCACAAGTCGGCCTAATATTGGCCTCAGGGTCTCTGCAGACACACTGAGGTTGAAATCCCTCTGAGGCTAATGGGAAGAATAAGACAAAACAGCAGGAAAGTTCTGAGTCTGGAAAGTCGTAATGAACCACGAACTCCTGCCAGGAGAGGTTTTGTGTGCATGTAGCTATATGTTTAAATCTATAGTGATCTGCCAATGGCCACATGGCCCATCCCCCTGCCATCCGTAACCAGAGCTGACCTTGGGAAGCCCACTCGTGCGTCAGAGGTGGTAAGCTCAGACCTCAGACAGCCCTGCCCGTCTGTCCACAGGGCCCCTCTCTAAGGCGGTGCAAAGGCAGGGTGAGTGAGAAGGGTGAGGGGTTATGTGAAGGATGGCCAAGGAGCAGAAGGAAACCAGCCACCCTCGCCAAGACCCTCCTCAAACTGCACCATTACAGGCACACTCATGGTACCCTTGTGAGCCGTTTAAGACCCGTAAGAAAAGCACCCCCCTAACCCCACACTCGTTGGCAACTTGGCAACTTTATTCCCACATGCCCCCAAGGTTTGTAGGGCAAGGTGCTTATCTTCTCACAGGGCCCATCTCCCTGCACTGAAAAGCTAATCAGCAACACAGGGCCGATCTGAGATGAGCACAAGTGATGGTGAATATTCTTCCCTTTCACAGATGGAAAAACAGGCACAGAGAAAAGGAACAATGCACGCAGGTCACCATCGGGTGCCAAAGTAGCTGGGTCCCCAGGGAACAACTCCCCCACCTCCCCAGCCTCACCAAGTATTGCAGTCAATCTTCACCGTTTCTCCCGGGGCATACTCTTTGCCCTGGTGGAAGCAGGGACACCTTTCCAGGGCCACACATTTGTTTTCATGCCGGACCTAAAGAAAAAGAATCCAAAAGTCTTAAAGGCCACAGGGACAGATGGGACATGTCACCAGGAGCTTGAACCTGCCAGGAGTCCAGCATCGGGACAGGGACTGAGCCATGGACAGCCTCAGCTACAGGCCATGACGGGAAGCCCACACCCAGCTGGGGCTTGGCAAGTGTGGGCACTGTCACTGTCACTCCTACCAACTGAGGATACTGAGCACTTTCTACCCTGTGGTGTCCTCCTGGGGAAATGTAACCTGGGACACCCACAGCAGAAGCCCAGAGATCCAGTCATTCCACACAAAAGGAGTCTCCAAAGGAAATAGAGTTATGGGCAAAGATTAATGGAGAATTATTTATCACTGGAAAAAAAAAATGGAAACCATCATGTGTTCAACGGTAGGAAAATGATTACATCCATTAAGGAATCCCAGGTGCTGGTGTCCTGTTGCACAGTTAGAATGACCCCTTGGAAGAATCTTCAATGATGCGGGAAATAGCTATGCTGTTAGTTTTTAAAACAGAGAAGAGAACTGTACACACATATGGTCCTAATATTATATATTTATATATACATATTTCCAAAAAGAACTAGCAGAAAATAGAGACGTTGCCTCCAGTGGTGGGCTGGGAAGTACAGAGGTTTTCTTTTCTGTTTTGTTTCTTTATTTTTTTCCCAAAATGTTCTTCAGTGAATGTGTATTATAATTAAAGAAAATGGATACTACATTTAATAAAATTAATCTGCATTCGGCACCTTGGAAGTGAGAGCTGATTACTTCACATAAGCAGAGATTTACCAAAACCAGTCTCTGGGGCCTGCCCAAGCCACCCATGCCCTTCATCTCCAGGCCCCTGACACTCTGACACATTCTCCACAGCCGTGTGCTCTGCCTCCCTGCCCTCCACCCTGGACAAGTTACTCATGTAACTATGTTATATTCCTCAGGTCCACTGGGACCAGAACTAGGGAAGAACTGAGAAMCCCCAACCCCAGCAGACCTGGGGTTCTTAGCTGTTCACCTGGCCCCTGGCCCCAGGGAGCTCAGGAAGAGCTAGCCAAACCACCGGACCCCAGTGTGGAGATCTGCTTCAATCTCAACTCCAGGAACAGCTCTGGACATCTGCTCTGGCATGGCCTGACCTTCAATGCTTAGGTCACCCTGAGGTGAAGGGACCCTGCACCCTGGTTCCAGAGCTACCTGAGGGGGTGAGAAGCTCCCTTACAAGATGGTTCAGGCTTGGTGCAAATCCATCACTCCCTGGCAAAATCAGAGTTCCCAGGGCTTGGAACTGGACAAAGCCCTGGGAGCAGGGTGGTCGTGGGCTGAACAAAGGGCTTTCATGTGAAGGACCACAGCTCAAAATTGTATGAGGGCGGAGTTGAATGGAAAGACTAATAGCCTCCACTTAACACCACCTCCACTTATCCACCACAGGAGGTGTTTCTGAGTCCCTCAAAGGATAAGCAATGGGGCAGGACAAGTGGAGAGAGAGAGGAAGATRTAAGTCAGCCACATCCTTGGTGATGTGAGTGAGCTCAGGAGCCCCGTAGGGAAGATGGCAGCTTGGCAGAAACATGGAGAGCCTGAAAAATCTCTCTTTTCCTGAACTTTCAAAGACTCTGTCACACTCAGGGTTTATTCCCAAATGCCCCCACGGTTTGTCAGCTTGAACATAAGTCCGAGGCCTGCCACCTAGTGGCCACCATAAGAATGACTAATGCATTCTAAGGCTCCTAGTGAACAGAAGCAGAAAATAAGCCTCACGATCGGAAACATCACCTGAGACAAAAGTGATGCAGGATGGAGTCCAGGAGGCAGAGCCCTGCTGACCTGCCTCACCTCAGCAAGACATGTGCTACTGGGTCCCCTGCAAGCAGGCTGGGGTGAGGGCTCCTAGGCGTCTTGGTGTTCATGCTGGATCCCTTGGTCTCGCTCCAGGATATTCAACTCCCTGTCACAACGTTCCATGTATCCAAGGCCTAGCTAGGGAATCCCTCCCTTCACCCAGGTGTAGCTTCAACAGATATAAAACTAAAAATCCCAGCCTGGCCATGAGCTAATGCTGCCTCCACTGCACTGATGCTTCCTCTTCCTTCTCAGTCCTCCCTGGCAAACCGCATAGCTCCTCTCTGCCCTAATTTATGATGGGAAAAGGAGATTATTAGCTGATAGATTACAATGCTAAGACAAGACCTCAGTATTAAGTGAGGAATGTCATCAAGGCCATGGTGCTGTGGGGTTAGATCCATAAGTTAGAGCAGAGGTGGAGAGGACAGACTTCCTGACTTTGGAGAGATAATCAAATAACACAACCCAGCTAGAAACACCCCAAGAACTCCAAAGTGCTAAAGAAATTCATGGAGATTCAAAGTCGCAGGGATGAAGGCAAACTGCAGGGGTGTTCAGGGTCAGGTGAGGACTGGCCAGGTAAGCAGGCAGGCCAGCAGAGCAGTCCCTATGATGTGAGTGAGCTCAGGAGCCCGGTAGAGAAGATGGCAGATTCCTGCCAGAATTCAGTGACTTCTGTAGCAAGTCACTAAAACCTCAGGTGTACAATAAAGACAAGCATCTCTGGCTAGGGTTTGTTCCTTTGGGATACCAGAAGGATATTAAGATAATATTTGTAGATATCCTTGGAAGAATTAAAGAGAAACGTGGCAGAAATACTCATTCCATTGTCCACCAATTCATGACATCTAGGGCAAGAGTGGCTCAAGCTAAGAACACAGTACTTGGTCTTGGTCAGTTCCAAGGGGAATTCCAAAGTAAAACAAAAGATGATTTTATTACCCTTCTCTGGAAAAATCCCCAGTATTTCCCACCAAACAGGAACATCCTACAAACTCATTCTTCAAAAACAGTTTTTGCCTTCCAACGATCTCTGGCGATTCTCCTACCCTACTGATACTTCCAGATCAATGCAGCTGTTTTCTACTAGCTTTTTACTATATTTTTGCTAGAAGGAAAGCAATATAATTAAGTAACTCACACTAAAGTGTGAATGACTCTTCCTATAAGGATTTACGAAGTTGTAAGCTTTTTATAAAAAAGCAGATGCTTGTTAACCAAAATGCATGCATGCCCGTTATGTTTTGGAAGCCTGATTTGGTGGCAAACTGTGGTTTAAATAGAGAAAATATTTGTAGATAGGAAAACTTTCTTGGGTCTCCTAGGATTCACAATGTCCACATGTGAGGTCCACTCTGGATGAGCCCTGAGCCCAAGCTTTTTAAAAATCTTTTCAGACTTCATACTGAGTATTCAGGGACTATGGACAAGAACATATTTCACATCTGCCAGGAATTTCCCTAAATACCAGCAGAACTGGGTGCCAGTTTGGAAAATGTAACCATTAGATTTCAAAAGTAAGTTAGCGTCCCCCAGACAGCAGTCCTACATTTTCCCCAGAGACCTAACTCTTTGAGCACCCAGATGCCTAGCCTCCCAAAGGGTGACCAATAAGGCTGAAGGTTGGTCTGGTTGCCAGGAGTTCAAAATTTCCACTATATAATTATACAGCCTTGAACTGCTTCTGTTTCCTTTCTTTCCCAGTCCCCCACCCCTGTGTGGTAGAAAGGATGGAGGTGACAGGTCTTCAGGGTTCCTCCTACCTCTGCCACCCTGCACTGGTCCCAGTAAGAGCTACAGCCCAGATGAAGGAAGGAACAGGGAGGTGAGTTGTGCTTTTCTGCCACCTAGTGGTGGAGATAGGTAATATCCTAACTTAAAGGAGTGAAGGATTCAGGCAAAAATTTTGCAACTAAATACATGACAATTTGGGACATCTTCAAGGGCAACCTCCTCATTTTATCAACCCAGTGAGTCTCATAATGTGAACCCAGATGTCTGAAAAGTTTCTCCCAATTTATAATGACTAAGTTCCTGGTTTTCCTCCATAAATTTATAGATAGTGGCAATTCAGCCACCACTGCCAAAACACCTCCCGTGTGCCTGCCACTGCCAGCCTCAGTCTTCCCAAAAGCTCTCCTAATCCAGGTTTACTGATGAGAAAATTAATACACAAAGATTTTCAATGACATGCCACTCAGGTAAATGTCAGAAATTTGAAGATGGATGTATGGGATTCCAACACAATGCCCTTTCCACGAGGCTTCTCCACCAAGCCTTTCTCATGGCGCTGGCCCCTATCAAAAGCATCCTGCCTCCTTTTCCCCATGCAAGGAGACCTTTGCAGCAGTGGCAGGAGCAGAGAGAACTGCAGCTGGAGAAGCGGGCCAGAAAAACCTCTTCTCCAAGCAGGCACACTCAGACATGCCTGGGAGGAGGAAAGGCAGTCTTCAGCCAAGGGCAGGGCTACTCCAAGAGCAGTCCCTGGGCCAGGCCAACCTATGCTGAGGCAAGTACAGAAAATGCTATTTGGAAACTCTTGTGGCCATTTGACAGAGGAATATCGTGTCTTCTGTATCTGATAAACATTGGAAGGGGCTCATATCTTGTCTGTCATTGCTTTTGGTTTCACTTTTCCAATTATTCGTTTCTGTTGCATGTACAAAAGCACTGGTCCACGACAGACGTGAAACTGAAGAAAACAGACGTGGATCCTTCCTGTGGACAGGAGAAGTTGATCCAGACAGCCTCTGAGAGGGAACCTTGGTTATTTATGAAAACAAACATAAAGCTATTCCTATGATTCTATAGTAATTTGGGGCTTAAAAGTGCTTTCACATATAGCCCCTTTGGGCCCAGAGCTAAGGCATGATGAATTCAAAACAGGAATTCTGTGCCTGTGTTACAGAGGAGGTAAGTGAGCCTCAGGTAGAAAAATTAAGAAACACCAAGCCAGACAGGAGGGATGCCCAGGAGAGCTCAGCCTACTGCTGCTCAGCGCTCCTCCAGCTCTCAGTAGATCTGCCCCCAAGAAAAAGCAACTGCCCTCCTCCTTCCAAGTCTTCAGAATGCAGAATGTGGCTTGTTACCAAACCGTTGGGAACACACCACAACCCTACCACCTCTCACAAGGGACAGAGAAGGTCCCCCAGGTATAAGGTCTGCACCATCAAATGAGCCCAAACACCATGTTTCCAGCTCCACTTTCTTTGTGTTGTGGCCAGGAACACATGTCCTGTGCTGCAGCCAGCACGCTGTGCTCACTTCATAAATTACACAGACTTTTCTGCTCTGCTAGGTAATGAGTAAGTTGTAAAAATGACCCAATCCTTGTGATACAAGCCTTCAAGTTTGTAATCCCCTGTGGTGGAGGTGAGAGAGCCCCCTTGTTAGGTGACAGATATGTCCTCAGAACGGATGCCAGAGGCTTCCGGATGCCAAAGGGGCACCTGACATGCTATAGCCGAGGTCTCACTCTCCATGTGGGAATTTGGGGCCTCATGCAATGATTGTGTTTATTAATATTCAAGACTCTTTGGATTGTTTCCTCCATGAACAAGAAAATTTTCATTTAAAAGAATCCCTGAACCAGACTGATACAGTGGCACAGGGCAGTAGCCCCTGCTACTCAGGAGGCTGAGACCAGAGGATCGCTTGAGTCCAGAGATTGGAGACCAGCCTGGGCAACAGAGTGAGAACCTGTCTCAAACACACACACACACACACACACACACACACACACACACACACACCACACACACACACACACACACACAC